TCGATTCAACTTTTCGCAAAGCAAGCACCGCAACAAAAGCAAAAAGCTAATGTGCGCATGCTCTAACTGTTGGATTTGTAGTTAGTGCTTCGTGTTTACATTTTTTTAAATGAGTTTCATGTTATCTTTAGACCGTCGCCATCGCCCTAGTCATTGCCAATAATAATAATAATAATTATTATTATTATTATTGGTTGTTATCAATGATGCATGCTGCTAATTATTACTGTTATTAATTATCATCATAGCCTATCCTATCACAAACCTATCATAGCCTGGCCTGGCCTGGCCTGGCCAAGCCTACAGCCTAGTTTTGATAGAACCATACATGGTGCTCTTCTACTGTACTGAATAGCATAATACTGTAAACATTAATATTTATAATAATATGCAATGCATCTTACCCAACTGTTCTTCAAAAATCTATTACACAGGGTGACGCCAGGTTAATAGGGTGGAAGGGAACCCTCCCCCACCTCCCTGCGAAAACTTGTAAAATGTTGAATTATTATTTTTTTCTTCGGGGTAGGCCTATAATTACAGCCGAAAAGCAAAAATCAATTAACTTTAAAGTATACAGGCATAACCCAGCTATATGCCTATGATTATTAATATTCAGAACACAGCCCAGTTCCACCCTACAATACATTAGTAGCCCTACAATGAATGCTAATTTAATAACGGCCTTTGAAAGCTTTGTGTGAAAATCATTGCGTTTACACGGCGACAATTGGAACCGTATCAATTTTGTTACATTGCGTCACGTAAGAAGTGCAAATTCCGTAAGGAGGGGAGATACAAAATTACCGGAAGAGCATTTCCTTATGTTGCGTTGCGTAGGTTGCATTGGGGCAGGTTTTCTGCAAGTGGGAACCAAGGTTTACCCTACCAGGTACCCACATTATAATGCTCTGGGTGGAGAGAAGCAATGCAGATAAAGTGCCTTGCTCAAAGACACTAAGCTATTAAAATGCACAGCGAGGTCGAGGTTGGAAACCAAACTATTACTGCCGCGTCACACTAATGACCTTTTTTTAAACTTCAAGAATGATCAAATGTAAATCTAATAATACCTGTATGTCACATAAGTTTAGTCATTTTTCTCTCATAGTAAAAAAAAATATTTTCAATGTCTTAATACAGGATTGGGAAACCAAACTATTCCCGCTGCGCCAAACCACTTCTACAGTGATGTCACACTAATGACCTTTTTTTAAACTTCAAGAATGATAAAATGTAAATCTAATAATACCTGTCCATGTCACATTAATTTTAGTCCTTTCCACCCCCACCCCCCATAGTTAGAAAAAAAATATTTTCCATGTCTTACATATTTTGCCTAATGGCAACTTTGATACAAAAATAAATTAACTATGAAATATTAATTATGCAAACGAGCAATTAGCCTACTCACACACATAACAAAACAACAGGTTCCGTCTTCTTATTACCATGCATTCTGCCAAGCTTCAAACCAATCGGACTTACCAAATTAGATATCGTGGTAACTATCTTAAATTACCTGATTAGTGAAATATTAATTAATTATGCAAATGAGCAATAAGCATATTCAGAGACGTACCAAAAACAATTGGTTTCAAGTTTGAAACCAATTTAGACTAATACCACATTATAGTTATCTTGGTAAGAAACAAATGACCAACAGTGACAACATGAAGAAGAACATAGGCAAAAACAACAGCCTCCCCAGAGCTTCGCTCCTTTGGGGAGGCTAATGACCAATGATCCCACACCCCACCACTGGCTTGATGTATGGCCTGTTAGATTCGACTAACATCTGATGGCCATTCAAGTCATAGAGACACAGTAGTCTCATTTGTTTTATGTTTGTGCATAAAACTAAGATTTATGCCAATATTTTTCCATGGTTTGTAATAATTAGAGTAATGCATGCATTAAAAAAAAAAAAAGAAAGTGCTTGCGGCCTTATGCGTTCATTGTCACAACCAACCATTGATTATGTGACTGAAACTGCAGATGGTCATTTACCATCAAACACGCACAAAGTTACGTAAGTATAGCATTTACGTAAATACTTAAATCACTGACGCGTTTATTAAAATAAAAATTGATCAGTATGCCTATTCATTTTTTTGTTTGTTTGAGTAAGAAAATGCTAAGTACATGCTCAAATTAAACATAGGGGCCTACATTGGAACTCAACTTGTACGTGGCCCTATTAAAACTATTTTTGTTTATGTACCCGGTATTGTCAACACTCCCTGAAATCGTTTTGATACAGCTTAAACGCTCGGATCGTTGGAGTGCCTGGGGATCAACCCCCACCGAGGGTCCCCTGCCTCCCCACAGCAGCCACCCCCAGCCAACTGGTGTAGTCACGCATTTCAAATCTCTCAGCAACTATGTCAAGGTGTCTGGTCAGTAATGACTGTAAGTATAAGAATCATTAAATTTCCTCTTATGATACGGATGCCAGTCAATTCGAGCGGATGTCAGTTCGAGTCAGTGCCAGTTCGAGCGGATGCATTTAGTGCGATCTATAACAAGGGCGAATTTATCATCGCCCTATTTTTGTATTTGTTTTAAATGCAAAAAATGCTCTGTGCACTAAAGTTCTGAAATGTTTTTGGTACTTTTTGATAATAATTCCATGTTTGAATTACAATCTTGGCAAATCCGACTAAAAGATGGTCGCTAGCATGCACTTATATTTTAAAACTATAGAATTCCGCACGTAGAATTCACGGTGTTTGTCTCCAGTTATTTGAATTAGTGTTGTAACAGTATTAGTAGATTTACGATTTAGGCCTATATTTGTAAATGGGAGTAACTGTAATGTCGATTAAAAGGTTTCAAAAGTGGTCCTAGGGGCGAAGTCCCGAAAATTTAGACAATTTAGGGGTTTCAAAGGCTTATTGAATGGATTTTATAGTCTACTAATATGTAGAAAATACATACAATTTTTTTTCTCCCCGACGAATTGTGCTTTTTCTCCCAGACAGGGGACCCCCTGGCCCCGGCCCTCCCCCACTGGTGCTACCCCTGTGACACAGGGGCAGATCCAGTGTATGGGCATGGGGAGGCCACTAAATTTTAAAAATGTCAATGCATATTAATGTTATGTGCTACTCACTTATCTATTCTGAAACTGTTGTTCCCCTACCCCGCCATTTGAAAAATTCTGGATCCTCCAGCCCCTGTGACAAAATTATCAACAGCACAGTAATAGACATCATACAATTTTCTCCACCGTTCACCATTCGTATACAATTCAAAACCTACTTTTTTTTAAACTTAGCATGTGGAAAGAATAACAATGACAAAAAATTATTTTTATGAAGTTGGTATGTTTAATTGTAAATTTTTAACCTTATAAATCAATTAAATACGACTTTTTTTATACATAAGGCTATAGGCTTCTCCCCCGGAAACCACCTGGGCTTTTCCCAGGGCTCCAGTGGCGTATCTAGAAGTCTTAAAATAGGGGTGCTGATTGGGGGCGCGAAGGTGAAGTAGGGGGCTCGATGATCAGTTGAGGGATGCTAACTCGCAAAAGGTGATTTTAGGTGATTTTTAATTACCTGCAATTGATTATTTTTTTTGGCATGATTTTTTGGGGGTGCAACTGGGGGGGGGGGGGGGTGAGTAATTTTTGGAGGGGAGTGAACACCCCCCACACGCACCCGTAGATATGCCAGTGCCTGGCTCCCAGACAAAGCCTGAGCCTCGGCCGAATGCAAATTGTTAGCTCAAAATAGGAAATTTTAAAGTAATTCGTACATAACTCGCACAGGCTGTTGTTCGCACAAGTGAATCTTTTTTCCGCTTGAACTAGCATACGCTCGAATAAATTCCGCTTGAATCCGCTCAAACTGGCATTCGCTCGAAGTGGCATCCACTCGAATTGACTGGTTACCTTATGATACCATTATAGGCCGAGGTCTAGTCTAGCGTAGCTAAAACTTTTAGAAGGGGTGTGGAGGTTTGGTTCCCCCTTGCACCCCATAATGGGGAACCCCTCACCCACAGGTCAAGGGTGAGGCCCCTGGGTTGGGGGCATTTTGCGCAAAATTCTCTTGTTCTTTATTTAAGGCCATGTAAAATAAAATAATTGGTTAGCATCCCCTCCCTACCATCAAAAAGGCCACCGATCCGATTTTTTTTTTTACTATACACTCACAAACTCAATTTAATATACAGTAGGTTTGTTTACCACCCGTCATACACTAGCCAGGCCACTTGCAGTTCTATGCTCTACTGTTGTTCTATAGGCCTATACTGTAGCCACATGGTATTCATGATGCCTGTTGTGTTGAGGAGTGAATTGTGAATGATAATTGCATTATGACGCGGTTATTCATAGGTAAAGTTTCTGCTTGCTATAGATGCTTGTATGTAATTTTTGTCTCTGTTGTTTTATTCTTCTTTTTTTGCTGTTTTTCCTTGCGAAACTCTTTTTTTCATGTTCGAAAAAAAAAAAAAAAAAAAAAAAAAGACCTCTCTCCCTACCATGAAAATTGGTAACATAAGGATGCTAACCAATTGTTTTATTTTACATGGCCTAATATCAAAATGTTGGCATGTATGATAATGCCAATGCAGGCCTACACTAGGGGGCCTGGGCAAGCCTACTAGCCTAGCCTAGTGTAGTAGGTAGGCTAGAATAGCTACTAGGCTAGGGCCTAGGGCTTAGGCCTAACTCCCTAGGCCGGCCCATACCTACTAGTCCTAGTCCTAGTAGACTAGTAGTAGTAGTAGGGCCTAGGCCTAGTAGGACTACGCCTATCCTATACGCTAAATTTGTTATTTCTTGTCAAGAAGTAGCCTAGGCCTAAGCTAACCCTCCTAGGCCTAGCCGGCCTAGCCTAAACTAGGCCTAGGCCCTAGGCTAGGTAGGCAACTAGCCTAGGCCTAGCTAGGTAGGCACCTAGCCTAGGCCTAGCTAGGTCTAGGCCTAGGCCCTAGGAGGAGGAGGCCTAATTAAACACATGAAAAAGTTTACATAAAAAAAAACAAACCTCTCCACACAACAGCTGCCAGTCACGTTCATTTCGCATATTAAGAGACTGTATATCTGTTATCGCAGTCATGACGATAAAGTTTTAGCCTAGGCCTACGCCAACGTCTGTCTAGAAATCTATAGGAAGCTGGGCTAGCCTAAGCCCGCCAACACAATAAACACAGTTCTTCTTCTGCAGCTAAAGCCAAGCCTACCCCCGTCTCGTCGATTGTCACACATTCGTCGATCCTATAACGACCTTTGACATTTTCGTGTCATATCATCATAACTAGCATGTGATGAAAGTGGTCTCTAAACACAGATGCAATGTCAGTGATCCGTTAATAATGATATTTTAATTGCTTATTTTTATAATGTAAATAATCAAATTGAGAAAAAAAATCTAGCCAGTTTATAAATAATAATAATACCCATGCTGTTTAAAATAACATGCTTTAAACATGCTGTTTAATAATAATAATAATAAAGTTATCCTTATATAGCGCAAAATGCAAGAAACCTCTAAGCGCTTTACAATGAAAGGAAAAACCGGATCAAAATAAAAGAAAAATGATTACAACAGTGAGGGAAATAGGTTAACATTATGAATGAATATTTATTTATTTATTATAATTTATTTTATTTATTAATTAATTAATTTATTTATTTTTTATTAATTTATTTATTTTATTTTTTCTTTCAATTACCTTCTCATTCCATTTGATTACTTTCCAATTTATTATTGATTTCTTATACATTCAACTATTTCACAGTTTAAATTTTTCTTATGTTTAATGTGTATTTAATATTTAACGTGTATTGGTCGAATAAATAAATGAAATGAAATGAAATGAACTAATAATAATTATATAGCAACATGGATATCCATTATTATTATTATTATTATTATTATTATTATTATTATTATTATTATTATTATTATTATTATTATTATTGGGGAAATCCGTCACTGAACAAACAATTACAATATCAAGGCTCTTTCATTCTGTTTTATATACATAAACCATAGTATTCATGACCTCCATACACACACACGACAGATATGGAGGATTAAACCATATTATATTCCTACTCCGATTTTTTCGCTTATAGTTTACAGTCTCATTTTGATTGTACTTCATTTCATCATCAAAGCCACCAGATTTTAGCGCTTCACTGTAGATCTGCTTCGCGTTGTCAACTTATTTGACGCCGCGAAGCTAGATTTTCGCGAAGTGCATGTAAACAACACAATTGAGCGATCTAAAAACTACAAAACAGGACAGAAAGGTCCATAAAGACGTTTTAATGAAAATTAAAACAATATTTTGTTAAATGGAAGAATGTTAGCTAGCAGTGGCGTAGAAAAGTATTTTTCATTTGGGGGGGGGGGGGGGGGTTGGC